AAGGGAAGGGAAGGGAAGGGAAGGGAAGGGAAGGGAAGGGAAGGGAAGGGAAGGGAAGGGAAGGGAAGGGAAGGGAAGGGGAAATAGGAAAGGAAAACGAGAGAGGAAAGGAAGGAAAGCTCTCCTGGTTCACCCAGCTCTGGATTTCACTCTCCTACTCTCACCCTCTGATAAGGGACACAGGACACAGCCAGAGTGAACCAGGCTGGGCAATCTCTGCTCCTTGCTCCCCATTCCCTGTTCCCCAATCCCTGCTTCCCTGCTCCCATTCCCTGCTCTCAATCCCTGCTCTCAATCCCTGCTCCCTGCTCCCATTCCCTGCTCCTCAATCCCTGCTCTCAATCCCTGCTCCCATTCCCTGCTCCTGTGCAGCCCTCGGCAGCAGCTCCAGGGGACAGATCCCATCACTCCCAGCAGATGGAGAACCCATCCCAGTGGGATTTCCTGCTTTCCTTAGACACCAGGGGTGCCAGCACACCCCCCAGCCCCGAGCTGGCCAGGCACACTTCTCTCTGGAGCCTGGAAAACACCCCAGGAGCAGCTGCCAGGCCAAGCTCAGCAGGGCTCAGCTCTGCCCCTGTCCCCTGCCAAGAATCCCGCTGCCAGAACGGGATCCCCTCCACCAAGGTGGCACCCCCAGAAACCTTCTCTGTGCCCTAACACACCTGGGAAGGGTGCAGCCATCCCAAGCAGTTCCAATCCCACTTTTCTCCCAGGATTTGTGGCTTGGGAAGCTGTGAATAACAAATAACCCCTGCCAGGACTCTGCTCTGAAGAGCTCGCCTGCCAGGCTGCCAGAATCCATCCCCACAGCCATTCCGGAGGCTCCACACCCTCTGGAAAGCCCAGGGAAGTGAAGGAAGCAAAACCCCCTCATTTCCAGACTAATTTAATCCTCCTTTTGACGTCCAAGAAGTGCTGCTGCTGCCCTGCTGGGAGGGAATAATAAGATTGAGGTTCTCTCCCTGCTGGCTCTAATTAAAGTGGGAGGCGTCAGCACGGGAGGAGAGGAGGAGGGAATCCACCCCCACATCCCCCAAACCCATCAGGAAGGGAGACAAACCAACACAGATCCCCCCAGACACGAGCCTGGAGGAGCTGTCAGCAGCTCCTGGTTTAAGCTGGAGCCTCACCACACTCAGGGAGCCCAATTTCCAAGGTGCCCCATTGTGCATCCCCATTGTGCTGCCCACAAAGGGCCTGGGAGGGATGGGAAGGGGGTGGCTGCCTTGCCCTGGCCTCTCCAGGATGGATGGATGGATGGATGGAAGGAAGGAAGGAAGGAAGGGTTTATCCATACATTGTTTGGCCTAAGGGAACTGCAAAGCAGTTGGAGGAATGCTGGCGCTGCAGATCCCAGCAGCCCTTCCCCCAGGAAGCAGCCATGGGACTTTTTGGAGGATGTGCTGACAATTCTTCTACATTTTGATTTCTTGAGCAGCCAGGAGAAGGTTTGGGATACATCCCTGCTCCCCTGGTTGGGATCTCACCTCTCCCGAAGCCAGACTGGGAAAGGATGGTGAGAGCAGACATGGAAATGGTTAAAAACCAAAGCAAAGCAAAGCAAAGCAAACCAAATCAAACCAAACCAAACCAAACCATTCCCTGGGAGTGGAAGAGCAGAACAAGTCTGGCCTCCCTGGTTTCTGGATGGGGAAACATCCAATGGGTTCACCCTGGGAGCAGCAAGAGCCTTTGGCCAAACACTTCCCAGAGCAAATATTGGCCCAGGGCGCTGCAGCTGGCACAATCTGTGCCACTTGGCTGCTCCTGGCAGATATTTCACCTGGAATTCCACCCACAGGGAGGTGAGAGGTGAGGGAGCCTGTGTCCATCAGCTGAGGAGGCAGGAGCACACCCCGCTCGCTCCCAGCTGGGTTTAATTAAAAGGATGCAGCTCAAATGGGCCCCAGATGGCTCCAGCCTGAGGTGGGGGTGCAGGGAGGTGCCCCAGGTTCCTGGGAGCTCAGCATCCAGCCAGGCTCATCATCAGGAGAGCTCATCCAGAGGGACTGGACACAGCCTCTCTCCACCCAAAGCTGCTCCAGCCATGCTCCACAGCTTCATTTTGGAGCTTCATTTTGGGGGATTCCTGCAGATTCCTTGGCAGGGCTCATCCAGAGGGACTGGACACAGCCCCTCTCCATCCAAAGCTGCTCCAGCCATGCTTCATTCTGGAGCTCACAGGGGATTCCTTCAGATTCCTTGGCAGGGCTCATCCAGAG